GTTGGAGATTCTGATAATCGAAGAGAAAACTTCAAGAAGGGAGTGTCAAAATGTGCATTAGACACTTAAGAGAAAATAAATCGGGAGGGGAATAAATTATATCTGAGAGGTGCAATATGGGATGGGTTCTATAAATGGAAAATTGAATGGGATAGGTTTGAGACCGTTAATGACAGTTGGGCGCTTTAGGGATACTAACTAACGATTCTGTGCATTCATTCTTCAATTTCAGCTCTAAGTTAAAAGTACACAGGAAATAATATAAGCTTTATAAAAAAACTGATTAAAGGTCTTACACAGTGTGACTAGCGTTATCCGAGATTGACATCAAATTCCAAAGGACACATCATAACAATGTGAGCTTTCTAAAGGCGTGATAAGGCAGCTGTGAATGGAGAAATTTGATAACTCGGATATCGATCGTAGACTTGATTGTCTACTTGCGCGTCACCTAATGCAAACCCGGCAGGATTATTTTGAACCACGACAATGTTTTCGCTTCCATGTTTGAATTCATTTTTTGTATTGCCTCCGTCGACACCGTTGAATTGATTTGACTAAAAGACTAGTAATTCATTGCAGGAAGCAGTTACCTAGTTCTCTGACTATTTTGTCTTTCTCTTAAGATATTCGAAGTCAATAACGTTGTCAAACAAAAGTCCTGCAAATACGTAAATGCAAGCTTTGCTCGACCTAGATTTACGAAAGGTCTAGATAATACCACAAATAAAAGCGGTATGCTTTTTCTGATTTATAGCCTCAGTCTTGCATTTTATTGCTCTCGCAGCTTGTAGCGGAGCTACTTAGCGCTCTCAACATCGACAATCTTAGACTCAAAGAGTGTTTTTGTTAAAGAAAGCACAGGAACAACGTACACTTATTTAAGCGTACGAGCTTTACAATCCCGGTTCTAAAGGGATTTAATTTACAGAATCACACACTAACTAGTCACTACTAGTTAAATAAGAGTAAGCGCCTTTACAGATCTGATGCTTTTAACAACACAGTACGCCTTTTCTAGGCACTTGTGTCCAACGATTCAAAAGGGGAACTGAACTTTATTTATTCTTGAACTACGGTAGTTAACCCATGAATAGTGTCTGACTGACTTCTACATTGCGATCCTATGGCAGAGGCCTCATCTTTATCCCAACCCGATAAGGTGCGGTATTACCGCAAGTACAGGGAACCAAGACTGTACCACTCAGATCCCCAGATCTTTACTTGGTGTGGACAAACAACATGACCGGTTTTATAACCGCCATGCGACCCTGTTACACAGCTCCTTCTTACGAGGCGCATCGTACATGGCCATCAATAGCAATTTTGCGCTACTGTAGAATCTGGAGGCTGACCACGTATTTCTACTTCTCCCTAAATGCCACTTGTTCAAGTTTTAAAAGCACTCGAATTACTCTAAATCTCCGCATCCACCCGACCATCCGCAAACGTCGGCAGGAATGGCGTGTCTTTTCATTTTTAATATGTATTTTGGCTTTTCATCTGTTCATTCTGTGGAGTTAAAAAATCAGATCAAGCGCAATGAGTAAGTGTGAAATAGTCGAATGGAACTGATATTGTCGCAGTTAAGGTTGTTTTGGATAGTGCCTATCGACCAATGTCCTTCTTGGTTGTTTATATTTTTTTGTGGTCTAATTTTTAGGTAATATTAACGGCGACAAAACAAGAGGGCCGCAGCGATTAAAAGATTCCGTTTTACATTTTTCTCACATTAATAAGAAAATGTGCAACGCCGCCTCAGATTGTGTAAGCTATGTTGAAGTAAGAAAAGATGGCCGTTGGTGCCTTTGTACAACAAAGGATACGAGGTGATTTTTAAATTTAAATTAAGTAAGAGATGAGGGAAGTACAAGTATAAAAGCTGTTGGTTAATACTAATTTGATTTTTTTCGTGATACGGTTAGTGTGTCGTTGTACCGAGAGACGAGCCATGATACCGTCCCTTTTTTGAATTCAAAACTTACAGATACGTGAGGGCAAACAACAACAGAAGTCAGTCTCACTTATTATATTTCAGTTGTTTGACTTCAGCAGAAAAAGGATAAATTTCCCGAAGTTCGATAGTAATTGTAGTTCCGTCACCGTAGCGAACAGTTATTGCCGAATGCATGTAACAAGTAATTAAAAGGAAAACAAATCGCACATGTGATTTAGTTGTTACATTTTTCAGTGTCATTTTTGACTAGCAACAATATTTGAAGACTCTTCAGCCTGGAAATCTCTCTTTATCGCCCAATGACGCCAAACTCGTCCTTCAAGAGACACAGTCACCAACGCTTCATACCACATATTTCTCCGAGTACTCACTTGTAATTGTCTATAGATATCACACACAGCAAAACCACACGCGTCACTTTTCAAATTATAAAAACTAGTTTCCTATGCGTACAATTTTTACCTGACCTAGTCCACCGTGTTGTTAATCAAGACAAGCTCTCTTTAGCACAGATTTTGTCATGAGTGTAACGTGTACCTCACGACGACCTTCCCGAATATCGTCGCGTACTTAAAGACCAACCCCAGAATTTCCGGTGTGAATTTGATGAGCATTTTTGTAGGGTTTTGCTCATCACTCAACGCTGTTAAATCAACCTGTTTGAAGATTTGAGAAGCGTGTTTAAAAACCTCAAGGGCAGAGGAACTTAACAGAATTCCATGCTTATTCGTTGCAATATTCTATAATCCACTTATCGTAATCAAGGGCAACATAATCAGCTCGACTACTGTTCTCTTTACTTTTATAAGGTAGTAATATATTCTGGGAACAGGTAGAGACAAAAAATGCTTTGGGTACAGCCACACATCGATGTAACCTATGACACTACCTTCAAGTTTTGCCACATTCCTTCAAATTTGGCTAGCGAATATTGTGTATTATCTTATGACCCCATCGTATGATTGCCCTTATTGAAGAATCCATACATGTACGCACCGCGCAAATTACATCGATGAAGGCTTCCACCATAACTCGCGCCAAACAGCACTTTTCTACAGTGTGCCAAGCAGCGCTTTTAAAAATAAGTACAAAAATAAATATTGCTCTGGACCTTTTATGCGTTGTAGTGTACTGCCTGATATGCAAAGTTTGTATAAGACCACCTAATCGTACTCAAACAAAAAAGGAGGTGTTTATCTTTCCATCTTGCCCATAATCTTCTCCTTAGCACATACATGAATTCTTGGATTGATCAAAGATTCATGACCCTCATGGCTATGATTTGCGACGATGTCCTCGCTCCCCGCAATTGTGGATCACATCGCTTATGTGGGCGGTAAATGGCCACTTACTTTGGGCAAAATCAATTTCCTACTTAATTTAGCGAGCCTTTGTAGTCTTGCTTACGCACCATTATGGACGAAAGCAACCACACCTTCTTGACGGTTTTGAATTTTTCTTGGATTCTATATACGTTCTCCAGGGGAGAAGCAAAAGTCATGGTGGGGAACTGAGTACTTATTAGCATCATCATTAGGCTACAATTGGTGCTGCGAACTAGACTTGAGGATAATGAATTCAATGTACTGGTGTGACTGTTTCGGAATGAGGTGTCATAAGACCAGATTCCTTGTACTGTGCTTTATTTGGTAATATATCTAACATGCCTTCCGATGAAGAACGTTGCACCGAAAATTGTCATGTCGCGTTCGCTCATGTATGCACGTTGATTATCGAATCCGATGTTGCTATCGATAAGGTTGCTACATGCTGAACATGATATTTGCAATATGTGACTGTGCCGCACAAAAGGACAAGTAAAATTCTAGCAGTCACATAATGTTAGATCTATACCTTTTCTAAGAAGGTCACGCAAGAACCAGGTTGAATAGCTTTGTGCAGTTGCGGCACTTCAACCCATTAGTTAATTTGGGGACCCCTCGGCTTTACTGAAACGTTAAAAACAATTTAACTTCAGTGATAGTGTAATGGGTTTAAACCGTTACATGATTTTAAACTGTAATGAGACGACAAAGATCTGTGGAAATTTTAAGCTTGGTACGCACTAAACCTTAGTATAATTGACGTATACCGATAGTTAATTTACGACAAAGTGAGTGTCATACACATGGATGACGTCATAAGTTGACGTCATTTAGTGGAGTCAATAAATTACGCCATCCAAGCGCTCATATTCAGCGCGCTTTAAAGACCGCGTCTCATCGGAGTTTGCGTCTAATCTTTTGTCTCGTTTTGCCAATGGCCATTTGGAATTATGTATAGTAAACCAAGAAGAAATTGGTCTTAGATGTGCACCTGGTCTTGACGTGTGTGCCGAGGGACGGGAAAGCGATTCCGCTTTGCAATGCTCAATCGTTCATCTATAAAAGAAGCGGTCGTGAGACGCCCATCCAAAATCCATGCACGTGATACGATAAGGTAAAATCGTTTCCTTCCAGGTAACTGAAGGTGAATGTAATTTAAGGTTAGTGAATGGCAGCTTGAAGCGCTCGCCTACCGATAGTAAGGTTCCTCGTAGTCTACTACTACGTGTTGAGCCGGGGTAAAAAAGGTTAAACTAGACGGCTAGACTAGTGGAAAGAAAACTCGAAACCTCATACAATATTATAAAGTCCTAATTATTACACACAATCATTCTCCGAATCACAATTTATCGACTACATCTATGTATGTCGACGTCTCGCTCATTCATTAAGCGTCTCAAGAAGCTGTAGGTGATAATATAATATCTGGGTCGATATCGACCAGTGAGCGGACGTTTAGATCATTGTAATGAATACTATTTTAAATAAGTTATCATCGTGAAATCAATGATGAACACGATCATAATCGTTATCATAGTTTTGAATAAAAAAAGGCCTAATAAATCAAAGACAAATACTACCCTAAGTTAGGAATAAAAAAACACGTCCTAGCATCTCATGAAAACGTGGCACACATGAAACCCGCATCATAAGTAAGTGCTAAATGATTTTTTACGACCAAGATTACTCCCTCCTTCTCCATCTTGGGGCCGCAGCGAATGGGTATCTGCCGCGAGCTTACTGCAGTCGCAGCCACACGCATACGTGGCATAAAGAAGACGTATACGCGTCTTCACATTATCGGTCCGGTCGTACACATAGACCGTCGGTATGCCTGTTGTTGTAATTAATGTTTTGATTCGGCTTCTGATTTACTTTGTTACTTTTTGGTGTATCAGTTGCAGCTATTACTTTTGCTGTTGTCGTTGTTGCTGCTACTGTTCTTGTTGTTGCTACTGATGTTGCTGCTGTTGTTCTTGGTATAGGTGTTCTATTGCTGCAACTGCTGTTTGTGTTGGGATAATCGATGCAATTCATGCTGTTGGTGTTGATGTTGCGTTAGTTGCTGCTGCTACTGTCGTTTGTTGTCGCTACTGCTGCTGACGATGATCTCGTTGTTGTACAAGGTGTGATGTTGATTTTTTTGTCATTGACGCATTTATCGGAACTACTGTTTCATTTTGTGGTGTTAATGCAGTTTCGTTTTTTGGTGGTAGTACTGATATTGTTGTTGTATAAGTTGGGATCGGAATACCCTTCCTGCTCATGGCAACCTCACATACTTAAGGTACGAAGACAATGCTTCTTAAATTGACTTTTGCAAATAGATGTGTACCAAAGGAGGTACCATGTAAGGCAATATGAATACTGGATATGCAGCCACATCATAACTAATGGAGACAGTGCTGTATAAGGAATTAGCAGTAAATATGACGACTTTTAAATACGACACGCACATAAATAGTTAAAAAGGTTATTGAATTGACACAAATTCATTCGGTTTTGTGACACAGTTTTCACTCACTCCAGCATAATACTTTAGTATGACAAAACTAATTTACCTTGCATTGAAAAATACACACTTCTTATTGTCCAAAGAGAAAAAAATTCATTAAATGGTGAACATCTGCTTAGTATGCATAATGAAGTCCATGCACTTAAGCATTATGTCCGAATGGTTGCATAAGCCGCCTTTTCTAATTTAAAACTATCCGATTCCTTTTGTCCCTTCTTGCGAGAGGGATCCTCTTCACTTTAAGTACTTAAATGTATTTAAATTGTTGAATTGTCGAGCACACTTCTTCTTGGTCAATAAAATCAAGCACTATAGGCTGACAATTAGTGTTGATTTATCAGAATAAGCATTAAAAGAGATCGAAGGATTTCATAAGACGTTAAACTAATCCACTTTATGTACAACCAGTCTTAAATCAACTGCAAGAGCATCGTACAGCTTATCAATAACTTGTTTTCTGAAAACAAACTTGTGAACATTTTAATCCTGTCGGAATAGCGATAATAAAGCATGATTGCGAGCATTCATCAAATTATCCAGATAGTTTGAAATCATGAGTTTGTCTCTCTCACGATATGAAAAGGGATTAAATACTCCCCATCATTATAAAAAAATGCGTTCGTAGCCTTCTTGCAAGCTGTATATATCGCTAAATCTCCGACAAACAGTCTATTTTGGCAAGACTGCAAAAAATTTTCATTACGTTTTACTGATCCCACCTTATTAAATACCAAATATTAATACATTTAACACACCAAAGATGCTGCGATCATTTTGACGTCCACTATCTGTAAGCCACAAAAGCGCGGTGATCTATAATCAGGAGATATCATCTGTTGCCTTCTCGTATTCAAGCTTCATCAGTGATAAAACCAGAATCCACACCAGATTTTCAGTACTTTAGACGATTACTTCTCATAAATTTTCCATTAGGTGCGAGATTTATTTCTCTTAAAAAAAGTGCTGTCGTCCGCATAGCTTTCACACTTCCCTTACCACATCTGATATCAACCAAGATTAGTATGTATTGATGTGAATTGTAAAATTTTCATAAATTAGCTTCAGGCATCCTGATATTCCATAAATGATTATCTCGCAAAATTTTAGCGCAAACAAATGATGGACATGAAACTCGTACTAAATGTCGATTCATTGTCATCTTGACGCTCGCATTTTAAAAAGGAAAGCCACTTTTTGTGCACGCTCATACACTTTGGGGTATGGTGGCCACTACCAGCTCTGGCGCTATCTTCGTAGGTGTATAATTACAAATTCGACTCCAATATAATGTTTCTTTCGTTATCTCCCTTTCAAGAGCACACAACAAGTAAATTCCCACTGAATGAAGTGTTCAAGAAATTGCCGTCCACATATATTCTTCGCTCGGCATATTTACCAAACGCTAAAATAACTCTCGGAAAAGAATAAATTATAATCGATTTAAATTATTTGTAGGATATCAAGCTTAACCTTGTGACATCTTTGTTTCTATTCAACAAAGTAAAATAAAAGCAGACCGTTTTGCTCTGTAATAATAATTTTAAAATAAATTACTACAATCTGATGTGAGCGTTGAAGCAATTCATGTAACTAGCAATAATCTCAATTTTTCTTAATCTGACTCGAATCATAACTGGAGTCTAGTTTCGACCAAAAGTCATAGTAACATACCTGACCGTAAAATGTCAAGCAATTTTTTTGCCGCAGCGCACAGTTTGCAATCTTAGGTTGATTCGTAAACTGACAAGATTTTGGATACAAAGGGTCGGCGGACGAACGCGTTTGTAAACGCAAATTGCACAAAAGTAGACATCTATCTTGTGTGTACTTAAAGAGTTTAATTACTTATTTTTTAATTATTCTATGACGGCCCAATTATAGAGCAATCTCTCGTAGGAACGACTCGATACCAAATCTAACACCAAGCTTTACATACTCATTAAGCAAATGTTGGAGGTGGCAGGTGATTTTTGATCCCTTGTGGCATTACCATTCATTTCATAAGATACCACTGGGTATGCTGGTTGCTTTGTGTAGGATGTCCCGCTCACGCGCTATGATCTGATAGAAGCCATCAATAAGATCTATGGACGAAAAGATGTTAATCTTTATCACATAATCTAATGTGACTAATTTCCTCGGTAGCAGCGTCGAAGCCGATACCGCTGCAGTATCCAGCTTGTTGAATACATGCACTATCCGCCATCGACATGTTTCCTTGAAAACTTATAAGCTTGGAGAGCTTTGTGGGGAGGTTAAACATTCCACATGGTCCGCTGCAAAACAATTCTCATTAAAGTGCTGATCGCGAGTAATTTTACAAGGCAATGACCACTGCTTCATGAAATATTACTTCGAGCCTAGTTAATTTTTTTGGGTCCAGTTTTAATATTTTAGGCAACTCGCATTGCACTCAGTCAGTAAGTGTGTACGTGAATGTGATCAGATTGTTGAACAAAGAATCGTCGAATGCGACTATATGGGTGAGACGTTTAGCCCCGTACAAGTTTTTGCATTAAAGGCACATTTGGATAGCGTTGTGCCGATTACACTCCTCCTTTATTCACCCACAAACAATGAAGGACAAAACATCGGTCACTAAAGTGTCCTCCGAGACACGTAGGTAAGTCTTCTTGATAAATGGACAAAGCGATTATCGCAAGAAACGTTTCAGTTCGAGCATTGGCAATCTAGTGATCTTCGAGCAAATCGTAGAAAACAGATGGACCAAGTGCTTAAGCACCTAAACTTTACCGTTCATATACCAAGATATTCATTGTTTTAGTTTTTCTGCAAACTTATTCCCCTACATTGCTGGGGACTTATTCCCTTAGCACAATTTTTTTGTGGAAATTTCTTGTAAGTGCGGCCGAAAATATTTACCTCGACGTTTTCTAGCTGACTTTGCGCTACCATAGCTAGAAACTGAATGGGCGAATAAACAGCTGGACCATTATTTTAGTCTTGCCTCTAATAAGTATTTGGTACTTTACTACTTAGTTGATGCCCGCCAGGCATGCACTCATGTCTCGGCCCACTCAACACAGTCGAGCGGTGAAAATCCTGTCTACTTGTGCTTGCACAGTCGCTGCGGTTTTTTTTAAGTATAATTGGTTGCTGAACTGAATTTTCATATAGTTGTAGTAGCGAATGAGTCATAAGTGAGTCCACGATGTGAGCATAAGTAGCGCTTCAAATCGTTCATTAATGTCCACATAATGAACAACCGGCAGAAATCGAGACAAATTGACGCTGCCTGCCAAAACATGGTTGGTATTTTTTGATCCATGTCAAAAAAGATGATATCATACCTGTAACAAAATTTAAATGCAATCAAATCTGATCGTACTTAGTCATTTTAACGTGTAAAGGATGCCCACGTTTCTTTACTGTTCAAATGCGTCTTTTGCAACTCTCATCTTCATATTCATTTGGAAAATGAGCTCGCGCTAAACAAATTAAAACTAAAATCCTCTTGCAACTGGCTTCAAATTAAAATGTTTGACGCACCACCATTAGCTAGACATCGAATAGAAAATATCATTTTTACTTTAATCTTTAAGCTGGTAGGCGATCCCTTGACAACAATTGTAATAACACAGTGGTTGTGTGTTGAGTGCACTTTTCGCCAATAGACCTGCAATTATTTTGTGACGATGCTGAATAGCGGGGTTCTTGACCCTTTACTGAACTCGACATCTTTTTACAGATCCGCCTCGCTATTGCAATTTCGCAATAGTTTCAGATCAACGCTTTGGTCTCTTCTTGGCCATCTGGTGGCCGATTCAATCGGTAGTATTATATGCTACTTTTGGGGAGTTTTACTTGTAAGCATGATGTCCTGTATTTTTTAATAATTAATTATATCTCTACTAGTTTATAGCCAATAAAGGGAGACCATTTACTATCAGTAGAAAAAACATATGAGCGTACTGGACCTCCAACCTCTTGACGTAGTCGAAGACGATAATACCCCGAACCAACATGGTCTAATCTCAACCTGAATTCCTCCGGTTCTGCCAAAGAGATCACTTAAGTATTTAGTACAGGCTGATTAACTTAGTCTTAACGGGACCGTCCACAATACTCTACTTAAAACCGAAATTAATACATGTTTGGGAACGCAATTGGTAGATATACGATTTTCAATAATTCATGATTGATGATCGTAGCATACACATTTCTCTCACTTTTATTGATCTTCAAGAGCTCTGTTCGAGCCCTGCGCATAGCCCTCGGCGGATCAGAAATTCAATAGGGTACCAGAATATGAAGAACTCAAACGAATCAAAATATTGTTAACGTGCAGCTTGTTCAAAAAGTCTTAAGGTTTAGGCAAGCCCTGCCAAATTAAACTGAGAAAAAAGCTATTTTTCGTCTCTTGTTATCGATGTGACAATAACTGATTGATTCGTTTAACTTGACGTAACATTTAGCAGGAAATTTGTAGCAACTAATCTAAAATTGGGGATGTCGGCCTTTAAATTATCTGGTCAACGCGCGTTCGCTGGCTCGGCAACAGAGTCTTAACCTGCACTTTTCTTAGCAACAACAAATTGTTGAGATGGTGGGTATTAAGCGTCCTGTTATCTAAACATCTATGCCTATTAAATAGGTATCTGGTACAAAAAAATCTTTCCCATCAGCGCTTATGGAACACTCGCTAAAGCTCGATCTGAATCACTTGACCGCATTTATTAAAAGTCACTCTCATCAGAGTATATTATATGCGTGTTGTGAAAGCATTCAATACCGTCAGCCGGCATGTTCATGACATGTCTAGGTGTGTGGTTCTTTGGGAATGACATTGTACTATTAATGTAGGAGGGAACGCTAAGCTAGTACAAAGTTCACAGGTATATAAAATGAGGAAGTAGAGATTCCACTCAGCGGCTATACTAGTAATAGGGAACATCGAACTGCCTGAAATTATTATAGTTCCTTTTACTATACATAATCATCCTCCAAATTATAATTGTATATAATATATGTTTATGTATGGTGACGTCTCGCTCAAAACCCATTAAGCACCCCCAGGGGCTATTGGTGGATTAATATCAGGGTTGACAACAACCAGTGAGCGAATTCTTGCGCCATTTGTACAAATACTACACCAAACAGTAATATTTGTGAAAAAAGGCTACATGGTTTTTATATTTAGTAACATATTTGATGTAGTCGTCTAGTGTGGCAGGACAAACCCCGTTACCGTGAAGGGTCACGGAGCCCCTATTAGAAACCGCTGATAAGTAAGGAAAATCAATATTAAGCGCTGCCACCTGAAACATGGTTGTATCCAGGAAACCTGTAATGTATTCGATGCCTCCATCACGACTGTGGTGTATCCTCTCCTACACACAGTTAAAAAGCTTAACAGATTATGTCGACGCGAGTGTAAATACTAACGATAAGAAAAAGGTACCAAAGGGGGTACGGATCTGTGGCAAGAGCAACCCAATGTTCTAGTTAGCAGAAGTAATATAAGAGAAGCACTGACATATTGGTACATGCGGTGCCGGTAGGGCAATCAACTACACCACAAGTATGTACCGTCTAAAGATAGGCTAAGGCCAAGATAAATACGTCAGAGGTTATTGCTAGGTAAATAGGATGGCGATACTAGGCAGCGATGATTTTCGTGACTTAATTAAACACATTAGAGTAAAAAGAAGGACATTGCAATGTATTGATGATTATGCATGTAATTTCACGAATTACTGACGTGTCGCTCGACTACAATCAACTTGCGAAATGGTCGACGTACGCAAACTCATTGCCGCCTTCTGTATGTTCCACAGTATAAAGGCAGGCATTATGACATTTGAGTATGTTTAATCTTTATAAAATTTTCCCGTACTTTCATTATTCTTTAAACAAGGAGATAATGACAGAAATTGAAATTAGTACACACGCATTTTACTAGGCTCAAATTCTAAGGTGATTTATGGCGGTTACGGAAAATTTTATGGCCGGCCAGATAAACTTAAAACGCGGTTCCTTCAATAGTTCGCAAATGTATTATCGAATAGCTCTAAGATCTTTGTTTGCTAGTTTGAGCACACAATGTAGAGTTTTGGACTCGCACAATCTCTGAGAGTTACTTCGGAGCTGTTAGTTTTTCATACGGTCGATCGCATCGCGCTAAAAGGTACCTATGTGCTAGTAAAAATAGTGCAAACCACACTACTAGCCCTTGCCTAAATTACATTTGTCGCTCATATTACAATCGACATCATTAGGTAACATGCCATTACTCAGTCTTAAGACAGTGCTGCTTTCTTAAAGTAGAGCTCGCTTTCTCCATCCAGAGTTATAACACGACTCTTCTGTTAATTTGTCTCGCATGCGCGTGCTTCGCAAGGTTAAATTAAATTTCAAATAAAAATGCGCTCGATCTTGCCGTACGAGAATATTTTACGCGACTGCTCGGGCTTGAGGTGTACCTCAGTCAAACACACGTTTTCTTTTTTACATTTTGCCGTGATATTTAGCACCACACTGACGAAACACGACAAAACTGATCAATTCAGTGATCGCCTATGCTACTAATACACAGCACCCGATCATCCTTGTCACAGCGTAAGCCCTTCTCGCTGATTGCTTCGCCTACCGCGAGCACGATGAGGCCACTTTTTTTTATCGCGACCGGAACCCGATTTGTCGCCAGTCATCTTGCGGCGACAGTTGCCTTTAAAGTACCATACACGCCACTTTTGTAGCAGGTGCGCGTCTTCTTGTGTGGGGCGAATCATTACGTTTGTGAAGATATCTTTGTTAAAGCAATTTTCGAGGTATGATTCTGAATCAATTTCCGAACAAATTTAAAAAAATTCAAACTGGATTTTGCGGTCGATTCAGTGCGTCGAATACCATGTCATTAGGATTTTGGACGAATTGAAATGCGCACATAGTACGTTTATGTCGACAACTAGCTGCTTCTCACCGCCACCCTCATCACTGAGTGCCAAAAAATAGAGGTAGTGCTGTCGCCTCGAACGCTTGACATTCTTCTTCGTCATGAGCAGCATAAAAACTAGAGCTCCAATGACATTTCGCCATGTTGATCGCTCGCTCCGATACGTATTTTACAATTTTCACACAGTCTACCACATGTGAAGCTGATTTCAGAATAAGACCTACAAAGCGCTAAATATGTAATCGCCTAAATCGTTGGTATTGGCGTTTTTTGTCCGTATAAAGACATACGGATACTGCACTATGTCAACCTTCCACATAAGAGCGTGCCCTAGTCAAAGAAGCCAGACTCGAGTCAGATGTATACATTGATTACGCCAAGCTTTAGAATTGCAAGCTGTCATTGCTTTTCGTCGGTAGTTAGAAATTGAGTTGGTTAGACGTTGCAATCTGTGTGTTGCGTCACACTTATAGCTAGCACTGGGGTAATGACCAAATGGAACACACCACAAAGATAATCTTGACGTACAATTATGTAAATGACCTAGAATGGATCTCTATGAAATAAATGGACTTGTCTTCTTGGTCTTCGCACTTTTCTAGTGAGCTTTTTTGCATGTGTTTTCAGCTAACCTACGAACTACAAACTTCGTTCGTGACTCGTCCCTTCGTTAAATCGCTCCGTTCTGGTATCCGCCGTGGCTCACGTCCCTTGAAACAGCTATTTCCGATCTTGAGATGTTACAACACCTTTAGGTTGCGAACGTGTCACAACAGCAGATGATTGAGTCGGTGCATCTAGTGGCACTTATGTTGTGAAAGGGTAAGTGTATGGTGCGACGATATCTGGGTAGGCGTCTGCGGCGGCTGTTATGCAAGCTGCGGCGCTTGGTGGCTCTGAAATTTCTAACGGTAGAGTACTTCACAGTATGGATGTCCCGCGAAGTCCACAACAAGTCACAATTTGTAGATTTGCGGTCGAATGCTCAGTGCATGACTTCGTCTTCAACGATCCTTGACAGCGACAGCTCCAAATTATTCATGAGGTCTTCCGTACCGATCACCACATATGAAATTTTGTTATGCATCGTTTAACGCGCACCTTTTTTAAAAAGCTTATAGGAGTTAAGACCATGGCAGGCTACGTCACACCTATTCGTGACTGGTGGTCGGCAGTGCATTTGTCGTGTTGATATCGGAAATTTAATAGCTTAAAATCATATATGCTCTTGCCTGTATTTTATAAGGCCAAAGAAAGTCTTTAGTACTGTGGTAGAAGAAGAATGCCATTCTTTTTCTTTCTGATTCACTACCTTAACTTGCAATCCATATTCATATCCTTTTTACCTCTCATCAATCAGTTCAGCGCTCCTCAACATTTTTTAAGGGATAATTTCTAAAATACCCCTGGAAAATGCCGAAAATACGAAAATACCCCTGTTCTTATATGATTGACCAAAATGCCCCTGGACATAGTCTAGTCCCAATGCTGGCAAATGTCTTTTCACGAAGCACAGTAAGATTCATACGCGCTCATGACAAGTAGATCTATAATGCACAAGCTGTTTGCATCTGCCGCAATAAACGGGACGCTTCTCCAGGCCTTTCCCTTCTCAACGCACGCGTTTTTAATTTGAGCATCCCGGTGGTCGCCGTGTATGCGGTGGAGATGCACTCACTTCTATCCCGTCCTTATCTGACACGTCAGCCAAAATGCTTTCATCGCCAAGTGGGTGTAACATTTTTTTGCGTACGTACACCGGTATGCAACTACCGTTAAGTACAATTTTACTTGCTGCCGCACATACACTCGACACGATATTAGCTCAGCTGCTGCGTGGTGACAAAGAAAGCATGGTGTTAACGATGTGATTTTGTTATTAGAACGATTCATAAAGGATACGTTTCAGATTATATCAATGCAAGCTCACCCTGTACCTGCCACCGCTTGCACGAGCACTCATGCTGCCTAACGTAAAAAGTCAAATTCTGGTCCTCCAATATCACCACAATTTATAATTAGCCGCACGAAGAACCCGGTATTGCCTACCGCGCTCGGTGTCAGTACCGAGCTTTTTCTCAACTGAGGGAACAAGTAGCGAGGGCCATTCAGCTGCCTTCCGTCGCCGCTCATCGAACCATACCATAGACTTCTGGCGGATCCTTTTCCCACAATGTAAGAAAATTTAATTCAGTTAGAATGTTTAGTTCAAATACATTCAGCAAACTTAATTAGCAACCAACCGCTGCAACAGTATTACGATGGAGAGCTCACGGGCTTCCAGAGTCTAATTGAATAGCGATTACGCGATGTCGAAGGTAAAATGTCCAATTTTTTCTCCCTCAAACGCGCTGTTGGCCCAAAATGTTTTGGTTATGCCCACAATCCACTTTTAAGCTTCAATTAAAATTTCTGCAATCTCGCTCATCTTAGCGTCTAGTTTCACGTCAGTCAATGCATGAGCGGCCCGCTACAAGAGCTTCACCAATGAGACTTTTTAATATCTTCCAATAGTCCTCGCTAAGGTGCCCCATACAAAAGTCATTGTGTGCATTAAAAAAAAGAACTGAACTTCGTCAATCAGACCTTTCTGACGGTCGGAAAAAACGGTCAGAGGCTGCAGATTTGTAGAAGCTGCTTTCAGAAGCGTCCGTAGCTCTAATAAAGCCAACGTCAGTTCTCGTCATTTTTAGCATCGACGACGGCCATTGTCAGCGGAAAGAGAGGTCCGTCGCCGTCCACAACCGTCGCCGCTAGGAGCGTCCCAAAATACTCTGATCTTAAGTGGGTTCCATCAAGGCCTAGTAGTGTACGGCATCCAGATTTAAATCCTGAAATTAACGCTCGGTAGGCGACAAAAAGGCGCCGAAGTTCGGGCTTATTCGAGTACACGGCCGCAATGGTTCCTGTTGCAGCAGCCATTGTATCAGCAAAATGCTTAGATATTTCAGTAGGCATATAAAACGAACACCAGCCATCCACGGACCTCACCTGGGTTTGTTACACAGATCTGCTTGCAATAAGCCGGAAGACTTAGCTTAAAAAATTTCGTAGCAGCCATGACTAGTTTCCAAACTAGTCATGGCTGCTACGAATACTCCTGGCTTTTCCTCTTTAAGCTTGCTTGTATGAAATTGTGAGCCCATGCTTGCGATGTACGTCTGAAATGATTCGTTTGGTCTGTTCAGGGTGTTACGAAACTGGGTCTCGACTTCACTCGCAACATAGGAAACTGATGCCGTTTGGTGGCCAAGGTGAGTCACACCTTGACAAGAGTGTTTGTCTTGCAGAGGCCCTGATGGTATACATTAGTGCGTCGGCAAGCTGTGCAGCTTTCAGCCTCCAGGAGTAGCCTTCTTGCACGCAAGCCGCTGGTAAGCGTCGTTTGTCTCTTTCGATGACCGCGAGCGCTAATCATCCAGCGATATCACTTGCTTTGACAGCTTTTCGGCAGCTATTTGCCTCTGCAAACTTCTATTCAAGGGTAAGCTAACGTTCCGCCATAATTTTTAGGGAGAAGTAGTGATGTAGGGGCGCGGCGGTGAGGTTAGGTCATGTGATGATGGAATGCGCAACGTTTTTTTAAGTATATAGGCTATAGCAAGGGGCTTTTGGTCACATATAAAAGTAGGCTTTTGGATAAGATATTTGCCAGCATTTAAAACCTAGACAAAAGCCAGGGGCAACTTAGTCATATACTTAAGTACATGGTTATTTTGTCTTCTCAGCATTTGTCAGGGGTATTTGAAAATTTTTGTATTCTTTTTAGAACTTCCCATCGCTTTACTTCGTCAGCGTTTCCGTTAAAAAAATTGAACGCTTATCAAGTACATTTGTAAATGGAGTCATTTCTAGTTTTCTTTGAGTATCTGCGCGTCGAACAATAAGTCTATGCATCGAAGAATCGATGCAGATTGTAGACTTTTTACCTGCCGCAATTTACTGCGTCTATCCACATCATATTGAAGTTATTATACGTACCTCATCGTGACATTTAAGATATATGGTCCATAATGTATAAGCTACTTGATCGTTTGGTAACGTTTAAAGCACCGATCTATCGTGTGTCATTGCACCAGTGATTTGTGTTAACCAATTATTACATAATTTCTCAGTAATATACTGTCATTACAAACAGTATATTGGTGACACCATTCTACTTTTTACATACATACCTTACTTCAAATTTTAATTGTGTTTGCTGAATGACGGTGGACGACAGGCAAAGAGCTTATAAGTAAGATTTGATAAAGAGCAAAACCGAAAAAGCTTACGTCTATAAAGCCAAATGAGGTTAACACTAGACGCTATAAACTCTTTTGAGAGGCGCACTACACTTGTGACATGCATATGTATTGATAACATATAACTGTAATGTCTATATTATGAAGAAAGGGCTGTATCAGTAGATTGGAATTGTATTGCTAGTAGCAACATTAATATTAACCAGTTGTAAAGTGAATTAATTACGTTTTACCACGTCAGAATTGGTAATGATGCGAATATTTATAGAATGTCATAGGTAATGCAGACGTCAACAATAAACACTGCTACGCCAATACAATCAGTGCAAAAAGCTGTGATGAAAAAAAAGAGGGAAGTCTAACGACAGGCTTTTAAATAGATTCTCCAATGGTAATAAAATTGCACAGTGATGCTCCCGAATAGATTTTCAAAAAACACATACAAGTGTAATGTGAAATGCAAATATACACCTTAAACAAATGCAGTTTGCTCCGCAAAAATATTATTACATCAAAAGAGCCACTTCTAGAAAGTGAAATTCAGTTTTTTTCGTGTACTAGATGAACGTCGGTGAATTAATCAAGATAGCTCTACTTTGTTTTGTATAAGAGGTAGTTATACAATGTTCAATGCGTAGTTCTACGTGTGGTAGAGGCAGAGATTGGACTAATTGATCTCACCCTGCGTTTGGTAAGCCATTAAGAAAACCCGCTGAAGCGTGCCAAATTGCGACTGGCACGCGTCTGTGAGTAAATTATTTCCTGTTTTACAAGCTATCTTGATGCGGAAACGGTCCTCGTACCTCCAATAGTAAAAAATGGCAAAAATGGGGTGCATTACAGAAAAGCTTATGTATACGTTAATCGTTTCTAGTCGAAGTACTTGCAAGACTATGCTCCTCGTTAAGTATAATCAAGGTACGCAGAAAAATAAGAACAAAAATCTCATCCAGCGCCTACGTGCACAAACTCCAACGTCTGCTGATTTTAAAAATATTTCCGCAGTGCGTAATTCGTTTCGTTAATGCGTTTTCTGGTCGTGAAAAGGATAAATTATGTAAATGAAAACCGACGAGTGTCTTTAACTCCTCCGACCTTGGCGCACGAATTGCCTGTTCTATCGTAAACCCAGCATGCGAGAAACTTCACAATATTCACTCTTTAAAACCTGAGTTTGGCTTACGATCCCACACACATAATTCTCATGTCAAATGTTCGGCTTTCGGCGCAAGTTCTTTAGCAAATTGCTTCTGTGCGTTTGGATTGTTGACCTTCGTAAGAGCGGCATCTAACAATCTACCATAATCTTGCAGAGCAACCCTTTGAAGCCAATCATCTCTACAACCACTACTGACACCGCAGTAAATTCCGCTTCCACAGTAGCGATAAAAGCCACATCGTTTTCGAGTAAACTGGATGACTGACATACCCGCCACTTCAATAGATCCCATCAGTAACAGACTTCGGTCAGTCATTTCTGTAGCAAATTCTGCGGCGCTCATCCTGCTAAATTAAGCGGTGTCTATAAATCGTTGTGTCGTTTATTGAAAACGAGTCTCTTTCAAAAATTATAAGCACCCGGCTATTTACTTCACGAGCTTATAATCTCCTTTTACCGGAAAGTGCTTACGTCTCGTCGCGCGATTTGCGGCCGACAAAATATAGGGAGCTTTGCACAGCAAAATTTATGGCCAAACTTCCATCATAGACTGGTGTTTACCCACAAAAAGATTCTTAGTGCGACAAAGATGTAAAGCATGACTTGATTTTTAACAACGTCGTTTTAAGAATCATCAATGGGAACTCTTGTACGGGGCATTCATCGAACCTGTATATTTAAGCAAAATTTACGGGTGTCACTTCTTAATCAGTGTCGTTACCATAGTAATTATCATAATTAAGTCGCTTTGCAAAAAATGTGCGCGATACCCAAGTTCTTCACCGACGAATTCGTTAAATCAGCAAAAACATGTCGATTTGCGTTAACTCAGTGGTCGCTACATTGAGGTCGTCGATGTTAACTCCCACTACAATAGTATAGGTAACATTTTGCTTTCGATGTATAAACATACGTCCGAAAAACAATGCGTAGATATCAGAGACAATTTCCTCTTGTGCAGTTATTCTGACCTCAGTCTTCTTGCCTGTTCTTATCCGTACATCCCTTTTTTCAAGTCTAGTGACATTTCCTTCTTTCTATTATCCAGATTCGAACTAAGTGCGTGTTGATCCTCATCAAACCTTGCGAAATTTTTAAAAACCATTGAGCTCCAGTTCCTTGTCGATTTTAATGTATGCGTTGTGCATCTCGCCATGCTGTGCCGGAGACCGACATAGAGTCGCCAAAGCCAAAATCATTACTACTCTTGACATCTCCATCACGGATGCTAAAGTGACATTGCAGTTACGACTAAAATTTAGTTCATTTTTACACGCTATAAAAAGGCATTTACATCGCTCCTGTTTCCACCTGCGTCACGTACTGTCTTGTACACCCATTTGGGATGTAGTGGGTTTGCATTTGGTGGATTCACTACTATAACTCAAATCTAACTGTCTTTCAAAGCTTAAAATAGCTGTTCTTGCATCACCGACTATCATTCAGAGTTAACGTGCTCTAACTTGACTTGCGACGATCAAACGGGACCTTATCATCCACACTGTTCTAAACTTCAGGTTCACCTTCCATCGCCTAATCTTCTTCAATTAGCAGAGGACCCACTTTGTAAAGATCTACCCACCGTACGATTTATTATTCACCCTGGCTTGGTTTAAGCATATGCTCATAGTCTACTGGCTGTCATCGATCTCTTTACACACAGAGTCTTCTGCATCCCCATGACGATCAATTTTTCAAAGCAACAGTAATTTTTTTGGTCTTTATTAAGCGCTTCAATAATGCGTATTAGTTGCGTTGTGATTGCATGCTATCCTCCGGTAAAAACACTTGATACCAGTTAAAACCATCTCCAATTTTAATATAAGACCGCGTCGTGCTCGCTCTACTATGTAAACTTTCCTTAATGTCTCTGTATACCGAATAAAGAGACCTAGAACCACGAGTGAGCTCAGTGTAGTTGCAAAGTTTGTAAGAATCTCCATCAAAGATGCCTAACCGAAATTGGCTTCGTAGGCGACCAAGTTAAAAAGTATGCAGCGTATTGAACCGTATATCCATAAGAAAACTATCTGAAAAGCCGCTGGAAAATATATTGGACCGCGCCATTTTTTAATTGGTGCGGTGCATGTTTTCCGCTCTCCCATGTATAGCATAGATTCTTGCCTCACTTCGCTGATGTGCTAAACCACTTTGTTAAGACAAGTACAAAATATGTATACACCACCTGCGTCTGTACGAAAGACATGATTTCATCACATAAAACGCTTCTAAAAAAACCATCGAAAAAAAAATGTCCGCTTTACTTTTGGTCACGCAACAAAGTTCTTCACAAAATTGCTTCCAGATTCTACAAAGTTATCCATGTAACGTTTACCGAGTATGTCTATGGACATCATGGAACCTTTGAATTATAAGAAATGTCACCACCAATCTGGTCGATGTAAAAATGTGCACCAGTACCTTCAGTAAATTGTTAAAGAATGCTCTGCTTGCCTTGTGCGCATGTTGAGCTATTGAGGGGTGCGATAAATCAGCAATTTGCCTGAATATGAAGCACAAGCTAGTCTACCCGCAGCGCCGTAATTTAGATAGCATATAGTTGATGAAATTCGTACAACATAACCCGCTAAGGGTGCATAGAATTAGCTTTATTTAACTCGACGTTGCTGTCAAAATACACAAACTAGAGGTTGTTAT